GTACAATTTATAGATGGCTCAATCGTTTCTCCTTCTGCTGATCAACCTGTCAAGTATACAGCATGGTTAAGAGCAAATAATTTAATTCTCTCATGGTTAATGAATTCCATTTCAAAAGAGATAAGGAATAGCCTGCTATTTGTGGCATCTGTGGCTGAATTCTGGAATGAACTCAAAATCAGATATATGAGAAGTGATGAACCAAGAGTTTTCCATCTTGAGAAATCCTTAAGCTGCATCAATCAAGGTGCTCTTTCTGTGACTGAATATTTCAGTACTTTTAAGACTCTTTGGGACGAGTATATTAGTTATAGGCCATTTCCAACATGCACGTATGGTGTGATGGCAAACTTTTTAAATATCTGCAAGTAAGACAGCAATTTGATTATGTGCTCAAGTTCTTGGTTGGATTGAATGATCCCTATGCTTCCATCAGAAGTCAATTAATGCTAATGGTTCCATTGCCGGGAATGTCAAAGGTTTTTTCTCTATTGCTGCAAGAAGAAAGCTAGAGACAACTTACAAACATTGATTCACACAATGAAACTCATGCTTTGATGGCAAAGCAATTCAGCCAACAGAATTATCAGCCCAAATTATTCAAAGACAGAGCAAAGAAATCTGCATCGCAGTGTACTTATTGTGGATATAATGGTCACACAGTGGAAAAATGTTTTCAACTTCATGATTATCCTCCTGGCTGGAATGGACCAAAAGGGAAAAGGAATATTGCTCCTGCTAATGCTGTCACTACAACCCCAGAAGCTCACAAACAGGAAATTACTGAGCAACCAAAGATTTATTTTACTCCAGAGGAATTTAACAAAATAATGGCTCTTGCAAATTCATCACAACCAAATTCTTTTTCCCAAAATAATGTCCCACCATTTGTTAATCATGTCACCTCATCTCATTTTTCTGGTAAGGTGCAATCTACTCTTAAACCAACTTTATCTTCTTGCAATTCAGTTGTTTCTAATCCAACTTCTAAACTATATTGGATTCTTGACACAGGTGCAACAGATCATATGATCTGTTCACCACACTTATATCATTCTACACCTAAGCAAATTAATGCATCCATAAATCTTCCTAATGGTACCACAGTTCCAGTCACTCATATTGGCACTGTATACCTTACAGATTCCATATTTTTGCATAATGTCTTGTGTGTTCCCCATTTTTCCTTTAATCTGTTATCAATCTCTAAACTTACTAAACAATCTAATATTTTCCTTACTTTTACTGCTTCTTACTGCCTTTTACAGGACCAATCAATGAAGAAGATGATTAGGATTGCTATTGAAAAAGAAGGACTTTACCATCTCACTCAAAATCTACCAAAAACCAGCTCCTGCACATCAATTCAGACTTCTCTTGTTCCTTTAGCTCTTTGCTCTGCTCACAGACAACTAGATATATGGCATTGTAGATTAGGCCATGTATCTAATTCTAGACTACATTCTCTCAAAATAATTGACTCTGCTATCAATTTCAATTGTACAAGTACTTGTGATATATGTCCTTTAGCGCCAAACAAAGAAGGCTTTCTTTTCCTATATCAAAAAGCAATTCAAATAAAAGTTTTGATCTGATTCATTGTGACATATGGGGGCCTTTTGGTACAGTTTCTTATGCTGGCTTCAAATACTTTCTAACCATAGTCGATGACTTTACAAGATGTACTTGGGTATATATGCTCAAAGCCAAGTCAAATCTTTAGTCAAGATTTTCTGTAAAATGGTAGCAAACAAGTTTCATACCTCTGTAAAAATCATTCGGTCTGACAATGGACCAGAATTCCTATCTGTCAAAATCATTCGGTCTGATAATGGACCAGAATTCCTACTCACCAAATTTTACCACAAATATGGCATCCTCTATCAAAGAAGCTGTGTAGAAACTCCACAGCAAAATGGTGCTGTGGAGAGAAAACACCAATACCTGTTAAACATTGCAAGAGCCCTCATGTTTCAAGCTAATCTGTCACTACCTTTTTGGAGTGACTACGTCCTGACTGCAGCACACATAATCAATAAAATCCCCACTCCTCTACTTCAAAATAAAACTCCCTTTGAAAAACTCTTTAGCAAAACACCCAATCTCTCTCACTTAAAGGCATTTGGCTGTCTTTGTTTTGCATCAACACTACATAGTCACAGTCAAAAATTTGACTCAAGAGCTACAAAGTGTATATTCCTGGGATACCCCTCTGATGTTAAGGGGTACAAACTCATGGATCTCAAAAATAATAAAATCGTTATCTCCAGGAATATCACATTTCATGAAACAATTTTTCATTTCCTAGTATTACTACAAAATACTGAAACTCATTCCCTTATGTTTCCCACATCAGAACCCTTCTTAGAACCAACTCATACTGACTCATACTTCAATCACAATCAAAATATAGCCCCTGAATCCTCACATATCCATTCCAATCCCTTTTTTGAACCTCATACTGATATTGAACCAGATTCACACCTACACCTACTTCGACAAATCCTTAAGCTTAGAAAATCTTCCAGAATTAGACAAACACCTCAACATCTGCATGATTATTATTATGGTAATGTCTCTTCTTCCCCAGATGCAACTCAATCATCTACTTCAAATGATTGCTCTCCAATAAAAGGTAATTTCGATCCTCTTGATCATTTTCTATCTACAAGTAGACTATCTACATCACACAAAGCTTGTCCGATCTCTATCACACACTCACCTGAACCCAGAACATACACACAAGCCTCTAAACTTCCTGAATGGCAAGATGCTATGAAAAGTGAAATTCATGCTTTAGAGTTAAATAAAACTTGGGAGCTTGTTATTCTTCCTAAAAATAAAAAGGCTATTGGATGTAAATGGGTATTCAAGGTAAAATACAGGGTTGATGGATCCATAGAAAGGCATAAAGCTAGATTGGTGGCAAAAGGATATACTCAACAAGAAGGTTTGGATTTCTGCGACACCTTCTCTCCCGTTGCAAAAATTACATCCATTCGGTTATTACTTGCAGTAGCAGCAGTCAAACAATGGCATTTCCATCAACTAGATGTTAACAATGCGTTCTTACATGGAGATTTACATGAGGAAGTTTACATGGAATTGCCTCCGGGAATGAATGTCAAAGGGAAACAAAAGGTTTGTCGACTCTTAAAGAGCCTTTATGGCTTAAAACAGGCCTCTAGGCAATGGTTTGCCAAGCTATCTACTGCTCTTATTTCTTATGGATTTGTCTAAGGAAATTCTGACCGCTCCTTGTTTGTCAAGAAATCTGAAAGTTCATTTATAGCACTATTAGTCTATGTTGATAATGTGTTGTTGGCTAGTGACAACATTATGGAGATTGAGAACTTAAAATCATTTTTGAATCAGAAGTTTACCATTAAGGACTTAGGAAATTGACATACTTTCTTGGATTGGAAGTTGCATGGTCCAAAAATGCAATCTCCCTATGTCTAAGAAAATATGTACTTTACTTGAAGACACAGGTTTAACTGGATCCAAGCCTGCTACCTTCCCTATGGAGTCTAACCTCAAGTTATCAGCAAATGATACTAATCATATGAAGATCCATCAGGTTATCGAAGGCTCATTGGCAGATTACTCTACCCAACTCTCATTAGGCCTGACTTAGCCTATTCTGTGCAAGTGCTCAGCCAATTTTTGGCAAAACTAGCTGTTAGTCATCATCAAGCAGCCATTCGAGTATTGAGACATCAAAAAGCCACACCAGGACAAGGCATTTTCTTTCCATCTTCTTTAGACTTACATTTCAGATAGTGACTGGGCAGGCTGTGTGGATACTAGAAGAAGTGTCACTGGTTTTGCAATTTTCCTTAACAAATCTTTGATTTCTTGAAAATCAAAGAAGCGGGTTACAATCAATAGATCGTCTGCAGAAGCAGAATACCGAGCCCTTGCAACTACGTGGGAAATTCAATGGCTTTTGTATGCCTTACAAGACCTGAATATCATTCATTCAAAACCGGCTTTGTTATACACTGACAGTAAATCAGCTATGTCTATCGCTACCAATCCGGTTCAACATGAAAGAACTAAGCACATCCAGATTGATTGACATCTTATTAGAGAAAAATTACAGCAGCATGTCATCAAACTATTTCATGTTTCTTCGCATTTACAACTTGCAAACATTTTTACAAAACCGCTTGGCTCTCTACCTTTTCATCATACTCTTCACAAGATGAACATCATTAACATCCATGTTCATCTTGAGGG